CACAAGCACGTCTTCTTTTGTTTAGTTTTTTTTTCTTTCACATTAAATATGTTTTTTTTTGTTCCTTGTTTTTTTTTTGTTCCTTGTTTTTTTTTGTTCCTCTTGTTTTCTGCATTTTTCTGGCCTTTGCACCTTGAGACCTGCTACCTCCCATGCTAACCGCCGCAGTATTGTTTCTCAAGCGGGGAAACGTAGTGGTGGTTTGATGGGCTATGGTGTTTATGATTATCTTTGATGCCCATCCCTTCACCTCCGGGATTGATGTCAACCTGTGTATCGTCTTTTGCCTCTATTTCCTCTCCCACCTTTCTCATTGTCCTTCTCTTCTTTTTGCCATCCTTTCTTCCTGAGCAATTGCTCGTATGTATGGAGTCACTCTTATGTGTTCTTGATTAGGCTCCTTTGCCGAAATCCTGGCGTGAGTCAATGTTCTTGATGCATGTTGGATGAATAAAGATTACCTTCGAACCAGTCGCTGCACCTCCTCTCGGGTCTCCTCCCCTTATGAACATCAACCTGCCGATCAGGGGGACCAACGGGCTACCTCTAGATGGCGGGCAACAGGCATGCCCAGGTAGCCCCAGGTGGTGATTGAACCCATGACCTACTGAATCCCACTTGTGTGCCTTCTGAACTGAGGTTGTAATAAAACACTCAAAAAATGTAAGTCCATGAGTGAACACCGTTCTGGCTGCTACGGGTTTCCCCTTATACCTACAATTAGCGGTAGGTAGGCAGTGTGAGGTGAAATTGAGAGAAGATATGAAGAAAAAAAAAAGAAAAAAGTAGAGAGGAAAACTATGCTTGCAGGGGTCCCCTCTAGATAGTCTTAGGAGTAGGGGTCTCGTTAGACACTCCTAAAAGAATCCTAAATTTTTTAGGACCAGTCCTAAAGGTTTTTTAGGATTTCGTGCAGAGTGGTTGCACGCGATCCTAAAAATCGTCTCTTAGGACTCGTCCTAAAAGTTGTCCCGCGGCCCGTTTTATATGCGTATACACGGCCGCGTCGTCGATGTCCGTCCGGTCGTCAGGTGGTGTCCGTGGTACACAGCGCGGTAGGCCGTCGGCGTGCGGGTGTCTTCGGCGGGAAGCCCGCGTTTCGTACAGTTCGAAAATTCGAATTCAAATTTTCGCAGTGGAGCGGCCTGTGGGGGG